GCCCCGTTCCAACCGGTTCGTTTGGAACGGGGCCGACGGCGTCATCGTGCACACGAGCAGTGCCCACATGCGTACTAGCGTCTGTGCGATGCTCCAGCTGCTCCTGGAGGATCGCGCAGGCGCTGTATGCGTCCTGCACATGCGTGGAAGCGCAGAACTCGTCAAAACCGGGTAAGGAGCGTGGGCGGGCGGGTGGACCCTTCGCCGTTCCCGGAAGTTACTTACTTCCGGGTTCGCCGACCAACTGGTTCGCAGGGACCGCCGTGAACCGGTTGAAACCCACCCCTGCTGCAGTCATATGAGGTCCTTGTTTGATGACTTTCATGGTCTCTGCAATTGGGGACTGCTGGAAAAGTCATTGCTAGGCAGCATGGTCAAATGACTTCACACTTTATGATCATCTCACTTAGTGATGGAATTCGGGTCCGAATTACAATTATTTAGGAAGGACTACCTGTACATACACTTTTGTGACTTTTTCTCATGATCAAATACCAAGCTCCTTTAATTTATCTACATAGGATATACTGTAGTTTCCAATCTCTACATCATTCTCACTGCTTTTTTCTGAACCTGCCTCTGAATCTTTCTTTAACGTATGTTACCCCAAACTGGACACAACACTTGAGATAAACTCTAACAAAGGGAAAAGAACCGCTTCCCCTGTTTGATAATTATATTTCAATTGATGCAGCTCAAAATTGTATTTGTTTTGAAGCCACATTACACTCTGCCTTATATTCATTTCATTACTGTTTTATTTCTGCCTTCTTCAGTATTACTCTATTTATTTCATCCAAATGTATGTCAACTGCACATTTGATAGACATTTACACCATCTATTTATACAAGCCAGTAACAAAAAACCCCACTGAAGAGCATATTGATTTTTTCCCCATTTTATTCGGAATTTATCTAAATATACTATTTTATCATTGCATGCATTCTTTGCTAATATTATGATTCTGGCCATTACCTTCTTGGCATCACTCCAATAGTTACAGGCTGCTCATTTGTATTCCTATTTGTGACTTTTCTCTTTGTTTTATTTGTCCTTTTTTGTTTTTAGATGTTTACTAAGCTTTTTACATGGTCTATTTCTGCTGTCCTCCATTATTTTTTCCTAATGAAGTAGTTCACAATTATGCTTCAATATTCAAAATTCTCAGAAAATTTGCCCATTAGATTTTTGTGCTATAGAATCCTACTCGTCATTGCTCTAAATATATTAAAATCTTCTATTTTAACAAGTCCTTAAAATGTGTTTGATAATTATACATTTTTGTTTTTCCTTAAAATTAAAAATGCTATCATATTGGCACAGTGTTTCTGCTATTTCCACTTGCTTCGCAAAGTTGTTCCTAGATTGCTATTGAGTCAAAGAGAACTGATCCTCTTCTTCCTTCCTTCACATTTAAAGGAAAGTTATCAACAAGCCCAATTAGGTTTTATAACATCTTGTTTGACAGAATTTGTCATCCAACAGAAGTTGGGGTAATTAAGAGCTAGTTTGGTTTAGTGGAGACTGCATGAAAGCCAGCTGGGTGACTTTGGGCCAGTCATTCTATCTCAGCCCAACCCACTTCACAACCCTAAGGCAGCATATCGTTTCAAACTATGTGTAGTGCCTGGTGACAGCTCAGAAAGAGATGACAGGCAAGGGGGGGGGGAGGAGATGCTGATTCATATTTTTAGGGGATAATATATTTAAACTCTCACTGGCTGTGTGCGTGTATTTAAATTGCCACATGGTTCAGACTAGTATTTATTGGTAATGAAGATAGTTAGCACCCACCCCTCTCCTAGAAGAATGAAATATTTTAGGAAATATTAAAAGGGCAGAATATTATATTTCCCTGGATGAGAAAAGGAGAAACATGTTTTAAAGACAAAGCTGCTCCCCTTCAGCTCCAGGGTGATGGGATTAAGACATGACCCTCAGGACATAATAGGATTAGCCCTCTACCCATCTCACCACCTGGGGAGATTACATCACCCAGCAAGATTGACCAAGCCTGGGACTCAAGACAACCTAGTTACCCCTGGCTGACTCACATGGGAGTCCAACAACCAATCAGAATACATTTCTTTCACAGGAACAGGAAGCTCCAAGGTTGGGCCCAAGAGATGATATACCTCCCTCCCTCTCCCTCTCATATATATGCTCAAGAGCGAGGTGGCACAGTGGTTAAATGCAGCACTGCAGGCTACTTCAGCTGACTGCAGTTCAGCAGTTTAGCTGTTCAAATCCCACCAGGTTCAAGGTTGACTCAGCCTTCCATCCTTCAGAGGTGGGTAAAATGAGGACCCAGATTGTTGTTGGGGGCAATATGCTGACTCTGTAAACCACTTAGAGAGGGCTGAAAGCCCTATGAAGCGGTATATAAGCCTAACTATTGCTAACTATTGTGCCCAGGCTGCAAAAACCCCATGTGGGTTTACATTAAACCATCCTTCCAAGCAGTCTGGATGTTTCCAGTGCCTTTTCCCCCACTTGGAATTGAACCCAGATGGCCATACACAATCCACATGTACACCCGTTTTTTGCACGTTTGAATTGATCCCTAAATACGTTACATGATACTATGAAAACACTTTTGCTAATTATTAATTTCTAATTAATATTAATTAATATTAAGTGTCAATTACTAACGTAAAGATCTTTATTTAACAGCTTAATTACAATTAATGCGTATTATAGAAAACAGCTCGGCCTCTAGGGAACAGAGAACTTGGGAGTCTTCGAGTATGGTCCATTTAGGGTTAGCAAGGGAGAAGAAAGCATCAGATCGCATTTCCCAGCGGCTCCTTTTCTCACCTGACCAAAGTCTGCAGGGCCCGCATGTCTCTCGTGGCTCAGCGGTCGCCCTGTAGGAACTCGCCATGCAACATCTTCCAAACCCACCGCCCTGCTAAGGCGCCGCCGCCGCCGCCATGTGACTGCTGCCAACGCCCGCCCATTATCGGCCCCCTCCAGCCGTTTTTGCCCCACATTACCGAGCGGCCTTTAACTCGGCGCAGTCGCCTCCTCTTCCACTTGTGCACCAGAACAAGCCACGCCCGGACGGGGAGCTGGGATGACGGAATAGGACGCGTAGGAGACGTGAGAAGGCATGCACATCCAACTACTTCCTTGTGGCTGTGCGGTGTTTTTAAGTGTTTGGTCATTTGATTTTGGCTTCCTTCAAAGCGGCGGATATGCGAGGATTTCAAAAACAGAATTTACGGGCGTTGTAATCGCAGTAAAAAAAAAATGCTGCACGTTTTAAAAACAACACTGGCTCCCTCGGCTAAGAAACGAAGATGAGGATCGTCCCCTGGAGCACGACAGACTGGACAGGGAAACCTTTTACCTATACCCAGTGCTCGCATCATTGTACCGATAGAAGAGAATATTGATAGCTGTGGTTGAACACGTATAATCACTGCGTTGACCTGTGCTGGCAGGAAATATTTTCTTTAAGGATTTTGAAGGAAGTGCTTAGAAATTATAATGTTTTGAATTCACTTATACATCACCTCCCCGCTCCCCCCCCAAAAACCCTTCATAGGATAGGGCAGTCATGTTTTTGTGGTAGCCCAAAGTCAGAAAGTATCTGGTAACATCTTGTAAGTTTAACCTATTTTTATAAGCCATGTACTTTGAGATACAGCTGATAAACAGATAGAATTAAAGAAAACATTAAAAAAAAATTGGTTTTCAAAGGTCTAGAAGACCTTCCAAGCTTTCTTACAGCCCTGCAATTCTGTGATTATGCGTAGCTTGATTGGTTTTGAACTGGTGCAGAACCAAGTATTGATCTTTGAGTCTAATCCAAAATCCATTAGTAATTGTTGTTGCTAAAAAAAATGTTTTATTTGCAGTTGTCTTTTCACACCATACATATTTTGTGGACTGTGTATTGACTGGGTCAAATCTTTTTTAAACAATGCTAGCAATAATAATACAAATAAGTATGTGTAATCCTAATCTTCCAACTT